TATTGTTGCAGCTGTCTCCTCGGTCAGCCCTGACATGCTCTCTAACGTGTGGCAGCAACTGTTTTACTGAAAGGACATTGTCCGCATTACACGACGACACCGCATCTCTGAAACTGAAAAATGCACTGGGATAAATATTTGCTTTTACTAATACAATGAACTTTGTTTCCTGTTTATAGTCGCGTTAGTTTCTGAGATGTGATTGTTATAAAATGCGGCTTAATTTAGGAAGACTGTACGTATTTGTTTATTAAAGTTCCAAATCAGAAATTTATACTACTGTTATACAATTAATGAGTTATCTTTATCATATTTTTATCTCTTATTTTGTTAAATATCAAAAACTACAGAAAGGAAGAAGACAGAAAATATTAAACATTCTAGCAGAATTCGTCACGGTAATTCATGAAATGCTGGGAAATTCTTGAGTAGCTGCAGAATTGGCGGCTCCTCCAGAAGGGCTCAGCTCCATGAGTGAGTAAGTAAGTAAGTAAGCAGAATTCGTCCCATGAAATTATTATTTTACTTTTCTTTTTCACGTTACTTTCCGTATAATCCTGATTCCGTTTTCGACATGGTTTACTGCATACTGTTTAAAAATAATTTTAATATTGAAATTTTACAATCCAATAGAGAGTAGCGTGGGTAATTAACAGAAAAGGAAATGCAAGGGTTCGTAGAATAGATGGAGAAAAAAATACGGCGACCTGGAGCGCAGCCACAAATTCTCATGCTTTTATTCTCGGAAACAAGTTTAATTTAGTAACTTGCAATGTGCGCGTCGCTTATAATTTCAACTCAGACGTACTATCAACAATGTCTATTTTTATGCAGAATAATGTTACAGGATGTTGCCGCTATGTATCAAGGAGACATTCAAATTCAATTAAATTCTGGTGTTTAAAACTACCAAACTACTAAATTACATTCCTGAGTAGTGAAGCATTCATTTCAGAAAGGACTTGGATATATGAAACAAAGTCCACGAAAAAATGCACACTTTATTCTCTTTTATTTAACGAGGCTTCTAAACACCACATGTTAAAAGTCTGCTCACGACTGAAGTTTTCACGGAGGTAAAGATGAATATTATGGTCTTCTGGGCTATGACACAGTGTAGTCTGATTGGTGGATATCCTCGTTTCGGAAGAACATCACAAAAAGCAACAGACGCCGTCATGTTTAAAGTCATAGGGCAAGTTTATGGAGAAGAGGTCGTGTGAAAATCAAGTTTTTTAGAATAGTGCAAAAACGATATTCCGAAGGAAAGACGAAGTTTAGTTTGACAGCCGACCTGGACTTCCAACATCAAAATCGGATGAAAGAGTAGAAAAGGCGAGAACTCTGATTAGAAATGATAAACGTCTTTGGTGCACTGAGAGTATGCTCTACCTAGTCACACTGTGATCCACAAGTTTCATCTCCAGGTTTTGGAAGGTCCGAGACAGCAGGTTCGTTGTGTGTACCGTGACAATGCACCCTGACACATAGCGCTTCCCGTCAAGGAAAACCTGGAGGTGGGGGCTCGATCGTGGTTCTGGAATACCCCGCTTAGTCGTGGTTTTTTTCGTCTTTCCTATCATAAACAATTATCTCAAGACATTACTTCCGAAATTTAAAACATTTTAATTTTTTGAAGAAAGCAGTCTTCTGGGATTTGGCACCGTGTATACGTGGTGTTAACCGACGTTCCTCCGAAACGTCGGTTAACACCACTTATACACGGTGCCAAATCCCAGAAGACTGCTTTCTTCATAGTCACCGCCATGAAAGCCTCAAATCTTACATTTTAATTTTTTTATTTTTTGAGAATAGTGATTTACCTAATTCGTTCTTTCCAAAATTTTTGGTCTCAATAAGTTATTGCCATGTGATTTCGAAACTTCCCAAGATTTCGTTTCCTTGAAACTCTTCATAGTTTCGTGAAGTTTCCATCTTCATATTACCTTCCAACTATCAAAATATATCTGTGAATCTGGAATTTTCCATATCTTCCTAAACTTCATTACTTTTCTAACTTTTTATTTTTGCAATTTTGCTCTTTCGAACACTGACAAAAGTTTTCATACTTTCCAGATTATTGTGACGCGTTATCTTGCGTCCACCACCGCGACAGCCGCTACAATCGGAACGGACACTTCCGCGACAACGAATACGTGGAAATTGTGGAATTCCCGCAGTGACAAATCGTAGCAAGGAATTGTTGAGTATCAACGGATGAGACGAAACACGTTAACGGTGTAATCTATAAGGAATGTTCCCGTAACAACGGACTGCCTGAACAGCGAGAAATGATGTCTGGTATCCGATCCGCATAACCCTTATACAAGCAGAGCTTACGACACGTACAGAGCATTGAGTATTGAGAACGAGACAGTATTGGGATAGCCGCCTCCAGAGACATTTGAGATCCAACCATGGCCAAGTATAGTTGAGACGTCGCATTGGAGTATTGGGCCAGAAGTCAAGTGATACTGCAAGAGATAATAATTGTACGGTGTGTAAGAGTGGATGTTCAATAAAGATTCGTTAAATCCGAGACCCACGTGAAGTTATTTGTCGCGCGACATACCCAACACGTGAAAATATTAAGAATATTTTAAATTTTCTATATTTATAAATTTGTTAAAATTTTCACTTTTATTAAATCATTTTTTAACATCAACGTACACTATTCTGAGAACCTTCAAACATTCTTGAAAATTCCGAAATTTTTTAAAAATGATTATATTTTAGATTATTTCTCCAGTCACATTAACCACTTCTGTACAAGAAAATTCGGACAGTGGGTACACAAATAATGAACTATTTGTAGAGTGGCTGTAATATTTTATCTCAATTGTTCAACATACAAAGACCAGGGAGATTCTTGTTCTTCTTGATGGACTTACAACTTTGATATCAAGACCAGCGAAATTTTTGTTCTTGATGGACATACACCTTACACAAAGAATGAAAAAGCATTAGATCTCGCTTCTGAGCACAGGATGAAAACATGGGAATTTCTTGGACATACTAAAAGAGATGGAAGGTGTACTAGTGAAATTAAATCCAGGATTGCCATGGCAAAAGCTACATTTAGCAAGAAGAAGAATCTTTTTACCAGCAAATTGGACTTAAATTTGAGGAAGAAACTAGTGGAATGCTACATTTGGAGCATAGCTCTGTATGGGGCTGAAACATGGACACTTAGGGCAGTAGATCAGAAACATCTGGAAAGTTTCGAAATGTGGTGTTGATGGAGATCAGTTGGACCGACTATGCGAGAAATGAAGAAGTGTTAATTAGAGTCAGTGAGCAGAGGAATATCCTACACGAAATAAGAAAACGGAAGGCTAACTGGATTGGTCATGTTTTACGCAGAAACTGCCTTCTAAAAGAAGTTATTGAAGGAAAGATAGAGGGGCGGATAGAAGTGACAAGAAGACGAGGAAGAAGACGTAAGAAGATGCTGGATGACCTTGGGGACAGAAGAGGATACTGTCATTTGAAGGAGAAAGCTCTAGATCGCATTAAGTGGAGGAATTGTTTTGGAAGAGACTGTGGACCTGCTGTCTGACATATTACTGATGATGATGATGATGATGATGACTAAAAGAGACTACAACTGATAGATATAATTTTCTTCAATCCTTCATCTTCCTACTGTATTGATGCAATCAGTAAATGCTCAAGCGTTCATCCAGGGTGATGTGTTACCCAGTTACAAGTTGCAGCCATACTTTGGAAAGTGTAAGAACTTCCACAGTTGGCTCTGCAGTAAATCAGTTTGCACATACCAGAGTTTTGCCAGTTGTTTGGCTTTTCCACAACCACCTCCTTGTACCATCAACTGCTATCTTAGGCTTAGGGCATATCTTGAGAGTCATGTAAGGAAAACCTATCAGTTACACCCATAAAAAAAAAGAATCTGTACTTAATTAAGCAAAGTTTCTGGACTCAACTGAAATATGCTCATCCTGAGTTCATTAATAACATTAAAATCAGTTTTAATATTATTCTCATTTTTTACTGTCATCACTAAGTACCTCAGCTCTCAACTGATGTGTCAGAGGAACATACTGTGTCCATCTTCATGGTAGAAGATTCAACCATGGAAGCAGATGACAACCTATTTGTGTCTTTTGCAGCATTCTGTGGCCCAAATATCACAATCAGAAGTCTCCTATAGTATGATACATCCTTCCATATTAAGCTAAATGACTATAAAATGACCATGCACAGCACAATATTATAAAATTAGAGAAACACACAAGAGCAACTGAATGTCACATGGTATCAAATAGTTGCAATTATTATGTAAGCTGCAGAAAACAGATTAACACCTGAAGGTTACACAGTAGTGGAGTACCTGTTCTACCTTAATCTGGGGTAAATGAAAAACGAAACTGTCTACCATCTTTTATGCACCTGGAGCCAGAAACTGAAAGTGTTAAATACTCTTCACGTAGGCTCAAAAAAAAATAAATAAATAAATAAACAAATAAATAAATAGAAAATAAAAAAACAAACAAAAAAAAACAAGTACAGTAATGTAAACAGCAACACATTTGGAGGACAAGGAGGAGGAGGTGGTGGTGATGGTAGTAGTAATTCACACACTATTTGTTTATTGTTCACACTTCATTTATATTTCTATGTATTTTCCAGGTTTTATCCCTACAGAAATTTCATATTTTTCACAAATAGTTAATAATACAATATATAATCTCTCTCTTCCCTTTGGATCACCTAATAAGGATTTTGTTGCAATAAATAAATAAATTACACTGCCTTGCATATATGCAACTCCATGAAAAGACATATATATACATATGAAGCTTTTACATTTAAGTCCTCGCCAGTTTACTGTCTACTTGCATGTGCCTGTGAAACAGTGAAATTCCAATTATGCCAATTCTAACTTCTACTCATGTTCATGAAAACATCCGTGAGCTTGGTCAAATTCAACATAACACATCATTCTGTAAAATATATACATTTGTATTTGTTACATGTTGAATGAAGTTTCACTGGGGCTACCTGTTTTAAGTGTTAAAATGAGTATTTAATGAAGAGACCTGCAATCACATTTCAATAAGACACATTCCAAGCAACTACTCCTGGTGAAAAGTTCTTGCTGCAGAAAGTCTTGGTAAGCATGCATGTTGACAGTGGTAACGGAAAGAAACAGACATTCACGACCAGGATATTCCTTTGACTTCTTTTAATATAAAGTTACAATGGGTCATAATATGTAAGTGAATCTAATACTGTTACATGATTTCTTGCTTTGCCCCCAAAAACATGATGGCGGTGGTAATGATGACAACAGCAGTTATCAAAATAAATGCTTCTGGTGGTTTTAAATTAATGTCAGAGGGAAACCCATTCCTTCTTCAAAGAATTTCAAATTCTTCACATTCCAATTCATCATCAGTGTCACCATTCATATCACTGAATCTAACAGTATCATCAGAAATACTAAATTTGTTGATCCTCATCACATCTCTGCTTCGTCCTTCACAAAATACAAACATGGGATACGCTACTTTCTCATGACATGGCACCAGAAACTGAAACATCAGAGTTTACATTTAATGAAGTATTTCAGCAACAGTAAGTAAAGTATTATACCAAGTTATTACAAAAAGCCGTAAAACATCCATACAATTTCAATGTCATGTATACACTTGCATGTGCTTCAAATGTGATAATCTGTTAAGCAAAATATAACCAATACAAGGAAAAACAAAACAACTCCTTTAGAAATCAGTAAAGACATTGGTCTAAAAATATATACAACACATAAGTACTTTAATGAATGAATGAATGAATGGGAATCCATTTTGTGATGCAATTCAGGTCAGTTTCATTCTGACAACAATTCAGGTTAGAATGGAAGAATACAGAGAGGGCTGGCAACCATATGAAGATAAGCTTTACGTTAAATGCTAAAGTTGATACATAAAGTTCTGAAATTAATATACAGGTATGGATCTCTGGATTAGTAACAGATTAGTAACAGACAGTATCGATGGTATGGAAATAAATCCAATCAGACCTCTTTGTTCCGGAAGAAATTTTCATAGCCACTAACATGAGGACCTCAGACCTCCCATAGTGTTGAATTTGACTGGTATGAATGTAACATTAAACTTCTTCAACACCAAACCTAAATAGTGCAGTTATGAAGGAACTTCAGGATGGATTGGGTATGGTGCAGGTTGAAGCAGAATGTCTGAAAGAAAGGCAAGGGAAATGAAATTGAGTGGGAAGAGACTTCGAGAAAGAACAATTAAGAGGGAAAGAAAGAAATGGCAAAAATTGTGGTGGTACACAGACAACACTATATCCGTTTTTCAACAGAAGGTTGGAAATAAAAAATACTGAAGAGCAAATAAACTGTGTCAAAAGAAGGGAGGAGAAGAGGAAATATGCGTCTTGGTGAAATTTATGACGTTCTCAAAAACAATGAAGTATTCAACAATAAGAGGAAACTGACAGGATCTAAGGAAAATCTAGGTGGGTTATTTATGAACATTTCAGTATCACTCACTATCTATCAAATGGTAGGATGATAGATGAAGAACAAATTGAAAAGGATCTGGAAGGAAATGGTTGTGGCCTAATAGAGGTACTATCCCAGCATTTGCTTGCAGAGACTGAGCAAAATCACACAAATCTCAGTCAGGACATCTGGCGTCTGGATGAGATTCAAACCAGGGAGCCTCTGAATACAGGTATACAGCATTACCACTAGTCCAACTTGCTTGATAAGAAAATTCTAATTTTCCACATTTTTCCAATCTTCTTCCACTGAGTTGTAGGATTACAAAAATGAACAACTCTCAATATATTAGAGAGAAAGGCATGACATGTTATGAAACAGACATGTAGACCTGTTCAAGAGTGGATCAGAAAGCTTCTCTATGAATTTTTAAATCTGAAAGGGCATGGAGAGAGAGGAGGAAATTAATATAAAATGCGGTTACTTACGGGCTGAACATTCTTCATAAACTTATAGAAGTCATCTCGAGTTCTACAATAGAAGCCAATGCAACACGATGGGTCAAGCCTAGAAAGATTCATCTTCCGTGGGGATCTGCAGTGAAAGCTTGTGAGAGGGAAATTTGGTTGCCATACATCAACCACTTCTTGGCAATAATGAGGATCTAGGTGGATGAGTTTGTCATCTGAAACATTATATGATCCCAATGAATATTTTAGTTGCAAATATTATCTTCATTTAACAAATTTCTGAAAACATATACACAACTAGGAGGAAAAAATGCATAATAACGTGAACTGCACTGAATTCCCGGATGTAAGGGCAACAGTGAATTCCAGATAAAAGGCATGAAGCCCAAATTTCTACTGCACAGGCTTCCAGTACAACACATTTTGTAATCTTAATATTAGAAAAAAAAGGTAAAGCTATCCCTGTAACAGGCCGTGGCGGCAGCAGCAGCAGTAGAAACAGTAGCAGTAGCAGCAGGAGGAGTAGCGGTGGTGGTATGAAGAACTTTGTACTGAAGTAAAAATTCTGTCTATATCAAATTTGCCAAACTTAGGCAGCGTCTACACAAGCACACAAAATATGTCCGTTGTAACGAACATACTTTGCTGAGGACACCACACAGTTGCAGAATGCGGTGCATAGTTTTTTGTCTGCAATGGAGCCAGAAGAAAGTGTAGCATTCGCCTCTCTTGTTTATTTCTACAACGGACGTCACAACATTTGTTACAACAGATGCAGTTTGTGTGCTCGTGTAGACGCTGCCTTAAGCTTTCAAAGGTTCAGACTTGCCATGCCATATCTGTTTAGCATAAATATGTTACAAACAATTAAGATGAATTTTTACCATCTACTGACATAAAAAATTACATATCCCTAGCTCCAAACTGAAAGTGAATGAAAATATTTTCATGACCACCCTGTTGTTTTACATTCTGTTAAAGGAAATGTCTTAACATATTTGAATATTTATCAAAGAATTATTATTGCACACCATTAAGAATCTTCTTTTATCTGTCACTGACGTCATTCCCACCCCACAAGGCTGTCCATCTACCACGTTGCTATTAATGAATGTGCACAATCAACAGTATGAGACCAGCACGTGGCCTCAGATGACAAAATGCCCTTACCAAATTTCATGAAAATTAGTGAACTGTTTCAAAAGCTGAAAAAATAAACAGAGAACAAACACAGAACACAAAGACCTCATAAGCATATTTGTTTTCTTTCAAGAAAGCAGGTTCTAAGCTTACCTAAGTAGACATCAGTGAACAAAGAACAGCTTCCCTGAGGATGATTTGGTAATAAGAACCTTTAAATGGAACAACATAAAATAAGAGTTGGCAAGAAGTTGCCATGGAACCCAAATATGTTTCATTACTGATAAAACCTTCTTGGTCTCAGACTCCTCCTATTGTAAGTGAAAACCATTACAAGGCTTGGAATTTCATGCAGAGAACAAAATTTAACAGGTTTGAAAATTCCTTTATGTTGAATAGGTGAAATGATCTCTCTTGTAACACTTCGTATTACTGAACACAGAACTTTCTTTCAAAATTCTTACTGAGGACCTGAAAACCATTCCTCAAAGCAGACACAATTCAGCAGTTAAGATATCCAACCCCCCCAGTTTCAGATTTAAATTTCTTTCTTCTTTTCCACCTCATCTCTAACATAAACACCAATATAAACAAAAGCATATTACTATTTGTGGTCTATGATGGATACTACATAATCTAAATTACAAACTACTGAAGGAACTTACCTTGAAAACCAACAAAATAAAGTGAATGTTTTGGCCGACCACCAATAATTCCAATGCAGTTTTCCAAAGTGAGTAAAGCTGTTAGACATGGGCCATAAGCAGAATTCATCTTTTCAGCACCAAGCCTAACAGGTACAAGTAGGATAAGAGCCCTCCATGAAGGTGTGGAATGTAATGAATGAGTTGAAACATGTTGCTTTGATTGGGAAACATCACAAAGGTCCACAATATCTTGAATGTAAACTAGAGAAAAAAGAGCAGCAAATAAGATTAAAAATTAGAAATTTCAACATAATGTTTTTCTTTTTACTTGAAAATTAAATATACTATTTCCATATTCTGCACAGTTACTCAAACTTATTTTTCCTGGTGAGCTTATTCATGCTGAGACATGTTACTCTTCCCACTCCTCTCTCACTAGTCAATAGTTCATTTTTAAGGTAACCTCGCTGGATCTGTCAAGGCACAGAAACAAAGGAAGAGCAGTTACCCACCACTACATCATCTCATGATCATGAGGGGCAGTGTCTTAACTGCTGGACTTCTGCTTCAGATTGGTGTGGCTAATCACTGAATTAATTTATCAAGTGACCTTTCCATCTTAAAGCTCATCAAGGAATGGCAGGGAGTCAAAAAGCATAAACATCCATACCATGCTGCTGCAATATATTCACCTTTAATCACATTTCCCACAATTACATATCAGTGGAAATTTTATCAAGTGTACTTTTAATTCAAAGTTCCCTAAGGAGTAACACAGAGGAGCACATAGTTGTGAATAAACAAAGCTGTTACACTATCATTCAATTTTAATTGTATTTTCTGCAAAAATTATGCATCAAATGTAGTGTTATAAAAGGGTGTTTCTGTCTCATCGCTCATGAAAGAATCATGTGGGATAACCCATAGCTGAAAATATCCATACAACACTGTCACATCACATTCAAGTATAACTACCTACACCTAACACCAGAACCTACAACCTCAAAGAATGGTATTTGTATTTTACATACAACTTTCAGACACAATTTTTTGGGTAAGAAAGTATGTAGTTATATGAGCCTATATGGTATATGGTTCTAGCTACTAAATATAATATACCTGCACAATCCTGAGCCACATAAACACACAGATGCTCAAATTCTTTGTTATCCCTTGCAGCCAGTTCTACAGCTTGCCTAAAAAAATCATAAAACAAATTAATTCAGTCAAAACAAAATATCTTTAATACAACTACATTCAAGGGGGAAAAAAAATCCTGTCAATTCATACTGTCATACCAACTTTTCAGGTTTATTTTATAGTCCTAATATGAATTTCAAATCATTCTACAGGAATGGTGATTATGGTGATTACTAAGTTTCTGGACATTGTTTATCAAGTATTCAGAACTAACATGACATTCTGGAAATGGCATATGCTTCAATCCTTGTGCCAAAGGGTGGGTAAATATCTAGTCAATTGGGTAAATTAGAAAGAACAAATCCAAATCACTCCGCGCAAAAGGACAGTAGGGAAACACCTATACAGAGCAGTTACTTAGGACAGTAGGGAGACACCTATACACAGCAGTTACTTAGACTAACACCAAGCATTCCAGGTGAAAGGGTGAAGAGGATAAACCTACTCAGATCAGTCTGCTAGAAAAAATTAATCTCAGTAACTCACAGTCTATTTCAGCCAACTACATCTACACATGCACCCAGGACCAAGTTTTTAAAACAGGAGATAATAGGAAAGTTTACATAAATATTATGGAAAGGCTCATGGAACCTAAAATTGGGAGAGGGAAGGTAAATGAAAAGAAATCCATCAAACCAAACCAAAAACGTTGGTTGTTGCCTAGGAAATCAACCGTGATTTCCTCAACCATTCCGGCTTTCTGGCGGCATGCCACAATACATTTACAGGGAAATATATGCAATGCAGTGTCACTTCCAGATCTCTTTCTCTGTCTTAATTTTAGGTCTTCCCAGGCATTTCCACATCCTTCATGTTAATTTTCTTATTATATAATCTTTCAAAACTTGATCCTAGGTACATATCGTAGAGTGCAGAGCTGCTGCTGATGGGAAGATATGCCAGGGTCATCTGTGGGCAACAGCTCGGTAAACACATTCCCGCAGCAACAGACACAAATAACCTGTGATTTCTATTTGGTCTGTGCCGAGATATTATAAGCATGGGACCAGGTTAGAGCTTAGTCAGTTCAGTCAGTTCTGTATGGGAGTCTGAGAGGAAGGGGCTAGAGATGGAGGCAGAGTAATAGCCATTGTTGGTGCCTGAGGATGGAAGCATATTCCAATTCAAGGACATTGTGTCCATTCTGAATACTAGACAATGACCAAGTCCATAAATTCATTTATCACAAGAATGTCAAGAAGAAAAACAAGGCTCCAATTTAAAAAGGTATTTTGTTGCAATGTGTCTGGATGTGTATGTGCTCACGTGTGTATGTGGAAGTAAAAATATTATGTAAACCACTGTCTGAAACGCAAAGATAATATACAGAGTTACTACAAATGATAGCGGCCTCCGTAGTCTAGAGGTAACGTTCCCACCTCATGACTCGTAGTACGCGGGTTCAAATACCCGGCGGAGGTCGTCGAATTTTTAAGGGCAGAAAAATTCAGGGAACAAGTCCTCCGGGAGGAACTTTAAGCCGTGGGTCCCGTGTCGTAGCTTTACGGCACGTAAAAGAACCTCATATCTCCAAAGGAGGTCACTGAGCCAAATTAACGGACGTTTCCGGCCCAACAGCAGTCTCTAATACCTCTGGTAGATGGGGAAAGCATTATATAGATACCTCTCAGCTAGTAGAGCTGGTCTCGCTGGCTGGGCAGAACTGATGGTAAGCACCAGTACCGGTAGGACATAGAGACTGGTAGAAATCATAGAGGGAAGCACACTGGACCAATACAGGTCTCAGTGCATGGGGAAACCCACCCTCTCCAATAACTAACTAACTAACTTCTACAAATGATTCATTCCATTTCAAAATCCTATATTTTCCAAAGTATTATACATAGAAATAAGATTGATACATGAAAAGAACCGCAATCTCACCAAGTTTGCATCATGATACACCAGTTGGAGCATGAGCACTGTGCCTCATAAAATGGCGGCGAAGCTGGAAAAGAGTTTCTGTGTGTTGGAATATGCGAGATGTTTGTCTGTTATTGCAGAGCAGTGTGCATTCAGAGGAGAGCACAGAAAAGAACCACCATGTAAACAGAGCATTATGCAGTGGTATCGGCAGTTTAAGGATACTGGTTGTCTGTGTAAATGGAAAAGCATGGGGCAACCAATATAGTGTTTTGAAATAGAATGAATCATTAGTAGTAACCCTGTATAACACATCACACTTCCATAACCGACAGTGAGTTAAAGCACAGGACAATAAATCATCCTACCCTTGTCGGTAGTGTCACGAATTTTCTCTTCTCCACATCATCCAGACTGGTTCTGGGGTTCACCCAACAGGTACTGGGAATTCTTTCCTTGGGGTTAAAGCATCTGGGGCATGAACCTGACCACTCACCTCCAGCTAGTGCTGAGGTCAAGAAAATGTGGATCTATAAACCCACTGCCCCATATGCCTTCATGGCAAAGTGCTTAATTAGTTAGGCACAGGGACAAATTTACCTTTACCCTTATTATTACATACTTGCTTTGAAAACTTTTATTATTTGAGATATAAGTCATTTAAGTACTGGTTCATTACCTTGACTGCTACAATAATAATATGCCATATGAAAGCAAGAAATATGCCAATAAAAATAAAGAACCTGAATCTTGAATGTTGTCAGAACAGAACAGTCAGCCAAATATTCCTCAATATGTGAGCATGTTTTGATAGGAATCACAGCTCAGATGTAGCCTTGCAAATGAAGTATAATACTTCATTCAAGCAAAAATTGTAAATCTTAACAAGAAAACGGACCTTGATCTCCTACCATACACTATCAAACTGAGGATATAACTAGTTCTAGTGTGTAACAATAAGAATACAGTTAAATGCCAGATGTGAACTTAAAAGCAAAAAATATCGTAATTCAAAGAACCCCACCTGAGCAAATGAGAAACAGATCCTGGTCCATACCAATCACCAGCCTTTTTCCCTGTTGCCTCTCCAAGTGTGACTAACATATGTATTGAAAATGGACTATTCCATGATGGATTATCTCCAAACCATCTGATAATTTTTCGATGACATACATCTTCATTGTACAGCCTGGCTGATGTAGGTCTCTGATCATACCATTTCCAACCTGAAAAATTTATATAAAAAAACTCTACACTGAAGATATATAGGGAGAATTTCAATTGGGTTGATGAGTTCATGACCCTGCACTTCATGGCGACCAGTACACTACATGCTGCAGGACGCATGAGAGTTTTGCTAATGACTCTGTATGCTTGATGGCCGACAACATTTGGAATGAAGAAAATAATTAACTTGTAGACCTCTACATGGTATTATGCTCATGCATGGGAGTTTATGATTTTTTAGCAGTAGGCAGTAGTCATCAGCGCCATGAGCCATTTGTTCCCAGTTAATAGTCACCAGTGTGGTATGACATAGTTCACTATACTTTAAAGAAACACGTTATTTCTGTATGATACCTACATGGAACAGGATCTGCTAGAAAGTGTCAGCAAAAATTTTGACATAAATTTTGTTATGAACAAGTTCTCAGCAGACAAACAATTCACAATTTGGTGAATAAACTCAGAACAACGGACTCTTAATAGACAACAAAAAGAAAAACATTAGTGCTGAGTGCTTACTGGGGAGAAGTTAGATGACATTGGGGCCAGACTTCAACATACACCTGGAAAATCACTGAAATGTCTAGCTCAAGAGACCAGAGTGTCAAAGTCTTGTGCAAGGATAACAGTACAACTGCTGAAGCCATCCAGCAAAAGTTGCTGTCAGTGCAAGAAGGACTGCTGTACTTATGCTTTTTTCAACAAAACAATTAATTGTAAAAGATATTTGCGTGTCGAGGGACAGCGTTTTCAACAGCTCCTGTGATCTGTGAACAAAGGTAAGAACTTCCCTTCATTCCAAATGTTATCAGCATGCTGAGTCACTGGCAAGATTCACATGCCCTCCGGAGCAAGCAGCGCTCCGATACCCGTGAATGTGTCAAATTTACTAAAAACACCCTGTACTTCTTTCGAAAATAAAAATTTGCTGTTCTCATTTTCAATGTTCTGAAAAAATTTAGAATAACAAGTTCTCCTTCCACAGACAATTTTCTAACTAAAATACAAGCAGCCAGCATTTTTAAAGTGATATTAAAAATAAATAAATATATATTCAGATTCACTACTCCCAGGACTTACTTGGAAGGAAGCTGCTCTTTTAACTTTAGTACCTGTTTGTAGTGCACTGAAATTATACCTGGGGAATTGCTTTACAAAGGCGTGATTACATGCAATCTCATTAAATTTCAATTCATGGAGGGCGTTCAAAGTCATATTTTCCATAGTAATTGGGCAACGTCACTGAACTAACATTCATTTTGATAGGAACTTCTGCCACATCATGTTAAGAAAATATCAACTGTAGAGAATCTATGTACAAGTGCCAATGACTGTCTGTCCTGCAATTTCTCCCAAATGGCACAAGACAGGAAAACTGGTAAAGATAAAATACATTTCTCTTGAAGAGACAACTCCAGAAAATTGTTAAGATTGACATAATGTGCATATGTTTGAGTCAAAGCCAATATTTCTCCATTACTTCCTCCATAAAAAAAATGGAATCATGACAATGGGATCATGATGGCAACAAGTAAGTAAACTTCACATGTTTTACTGTAACCATGGTAACAACATGCATTACCACTATGTACTGTATAGTATTTTGAGTTACATGGCTCAAAAAACCATCCAGAGCAGATTACACCATAGCAAATGAAGCTCCCCAGGCAAGAAGTTAGAGAATAATTCAATTACATGCGCCTTCATGTAGGGAAACTTCTGGAAAATTAAGAAAACTTTATAAAGTACAAAAAATATGCAACTCTGGCTTAATATTTTCTTACAAAAGAGTGACCAGGAAAACAAAACCATTATTTTCATTTGTGATGGTATACTGATCCAACTACACTCCAGCCCCACAAACATGAGCATCTAACTGCAATTCAATTTTGTGCCAGTTATACATGAACATAGTACATTAAAGTAATACAAATTATTTAACTTCACCAATTATCATGAAGTCCTTAAAAAAGCCTGCTGGACTTTGACTACAGTGACATATTATTTAAAAGTGAACAAACGAACACCAATTTTTATTATTAAACAGCAGATTCTGGTCCATGGTGACAATGTTAATTCACTGAGCAAAAGCATAAATACCTCAGAAACACAGAAAGTGTATCAGATGCTAAGAAGTTGGTTAGTTACAATTAAACACAAATCTCTTCATCAAAATATTAAATAATATACTGGCATCCCACTATAACATTTAGTAATCCTACTTGAAACATATCTACTTACCTCGTCCTAACATGTGACAGACAAGTCCTTGGGCCAAGAGCATCTGCCCACTGCGGAGCATGCAACCCCAGCCACAATCAGTGGTGAAATTGGAACCATTAAGAATTGGAAATTCCCTTCTATACGTAAGCCACACACGGCTGATAAAATCAGTTTTGAAACCTTCAATTCCTTCTCCTTCAATTCCCAAATCTGACTCTGATGAAGGGTCTACAATCATTTTTCGATGATAACATCTGCCTAGTAGCCATACTGGTGAATCCTTGGAGAAATTGGTTTTCAATTTCACTGTCCATCCTAAGCAAATAATAACAATAATGATCATAAAGTCTCTCAAGCTATGGAATGTAGATCACATCATTATACATGTAGGTAGTCTTATAAACTACAGCTGCTCATTATTACACAGACAAAGATAAAGGAAATAAGAAGGATATGCAAGAGCATTCATCAACTGTCCTAGGTGACGGCCTTTCTGCTATGCCTGTTCACTGTCTGGATTGCCACTTTTTCTTCTTGGTCAGTTGCAGATAAAGACTGGCACTGGTATTGATTTGGTGGGAGGTGAGGAAAATAAAACTGCAGTTGTCCTATCAACTAGGGATTACTGGACCCCTTGCGCATCAAAGATATTGTTAGGGCCCTGTCCACAACCAACCTGAAGTGACCCTCCTGATATCTACCAGCTCTACCCATGCACAGCACAATATCTCTATCTTATGCCTAACTAAAGGCTAAGTACATCAGAATTTCAAGGAGAGGAAGGTGATGTGGCTTATGTTATGATGCTGTTCTTAGATAAAGTACATAGCATGAGATGTTATAACAAATGATTACTTCGAAGGCTTTATAAGCAATTCATTATGGCCTAACTGGGGTTCTACTCTGTTACTTGTCTGGAGAGACTGAGGAAAGCCATGTGATGGCCGCGATTTAAACCGATCCCCCTTCATCACCAAACAAAAGTCGAGAGCGCTACCTATACGCCAACATGTTCGAATAGTTTCATAGGTTGGAATGTTTGTGTCAAAAACTTGCAACTGAATCTAAGATTTAGTAACAGATTAAGGAATTTGGTCAGTTATAACAGTTGTGTTCTTGGTCAGTTTCTTACTCTTGAAAAATGCCTTCCAGTTCTGGCAATAAAGTCCAAGTTTCATTTGTTTATAAGACATGAGCTAATTGTGAAACAGTACTTCCTTCCTACTGTGGTACTAAAATTTCAGTAATATGAACTTACCGTATTTCATATTATTCCACATTGACAATAACTTTGTCTTGACTTTCCCTTCCCCTTCACCACTATCATTTTCTTCTTCTAGTTCGCGTGAATATGTAGTATTATCGCCCGTTTCGCGCCTCGCCCTAAAAAATATATTTCTGGCTTCAGCATTCATTTTCTTCCAACCACTTCCATTATTATTATTTTTACTACTGTTAAATTAACTGTAAAACCTGCTTCCTTAGGCAACACCGTAAACCCACCGCACCAATCCATACCATCCATACCTCCTCACCATGGATTTCTGCTGCACGAACCACGGGTAATTAAACATAAATATGCAACCAAATCTTGTTCGTGTGCGACGTAGGAAATTATGAAAGGTGGGGCGGCACTGGATGTACTGAACAGACACTAGCGTAATCTGAAGTCCGAATCTTGAACTTACTTGAACCAAGTACACACAAATCATTCTAATTACTCAGTGTAGATGTCGCCTACTCTCCTGACGCTCTTGACCTCCTGACCCTCTCTCATCCGAACTATTCATAGTACAGTATATTTATAGGCGCCATTCTTGGGCAACATGGATATGAAGTCATCCAAACACACCCACAAGCTCAGACGGTTAAAAGAAATGGTTATTTCGTATTCAATATACCATTGGTAGGAACATGATGCCATGCTTGTATTCCCTCTCTGTATTATGAAAGCAAACTTTCATACAGGCATGTTCTTGCAAAGAACCTAGGTATATGGACTGCAAATCTTAAGCACTCCTGGTTGGCTCTTCTGGAAACAAATCAAGGGAATGTGAGACTTCAGGTTTTCATTGCAGTAACTACAAGGGTAACTGCTGACTGGAATGTGGTGCCACATAGTTTGGTGGAACCACCTACCTCCAACCCACAGTAAGTCTACCAGACTGGCATTGCATCCGTGAATGCTGTAATCTTCAAATGAATGATAGCTCACAGAATCTTTTCTCCTGTTTAGGACTAGTAATGCCAATGCATTCTCATAAATGTCCAGAGATTCAGACATGCTTTGTTGGCCTCATAAACATTAATGTCATAATGCAAAGAAAGAAATGTCTTTCATACAACAAACATTTTAGAGGATTTAAATTTCACCTCTAAGCATTAAGAACACTGATTTTGAATAAATTTTTACCAAAATATTTTTCAGCTGCAAGTGGTCATTCTGTTGATACATGTTTTAGTAACAGATCAGGCAAGAAGAGAGAATCACAGAAGACACTACTGATGGAGAAATGGAATTGTGAATGATTATGGGTGTATACATTTTTTAGAGATCTTAAAATATTTCAAATTTCACCAGGTTTCGGCTTTCTATATAGTGAAATTTTACATATTCTCAATCAGCTAATGATACAAAAATTGGCAGTAAATACTGCACATAAGCGAAAGAATAACATCAATGATGAACATTCATCAGAAATCAGAATCTTCACATATTTCACAACTGCTGCACCACACTTCAGTGATGCTGCTTTCCCTTCTGAATTCAGTCGACAATTTTTACGTGTCTGACATATCAGACTCCAAAGTAGCATAGCAAATCTATTTACATCACCAGTTACCATAGCTGCTTTTGTTACCACAGCAGTAAAAACTCAAGCTAGTAAGTTCACTGTGGCCAGCACAAAACTCAGGAATAAGCTTCAACTTAGTCATCATCTCTACAACAGTGGTGGCATAGCAGCTAAGTGTGGTGATGCTGTTAATGAATGTGTGAATGCCAAACCAAGAGAAGTGCATTTTTTAGGTGAGCTCAACTTTCCTCTTGAATTTCCTTATATCTACATTTTTATTGCTTCTGATATGTTTCGTGTGCGTGTGCGTGTGTGTGTGTGAGAGAGAGAGGATTCAGTTGGTGTGTCATGGGTTTTGTGTTTCTGGCTGATCAGCTGTCAGCTACTGGGTTGTGACACTCAACCTAAACACTAAATTAAAGTTTCTGCTACATTAATAACATTGGGTAAAGGGTATTGTTGATGGTTCACAGCAAGTGCAAAATTAACATACTATGCTCTGACTGCAAGTCAAGCAGTTCCCCAACGGTTCATTATTGAATTCAAGTCTCTCTTGGGCCCTATTGTGAATCATTTGAGTCCAGTCCACATCCTCACACCCTGTATCTTTAACTTTCATTTCAATATCCTCTCATATGTGCTTTGGTCTCACAATTGATCTCTTGCCTTCAGGTTTTCTGACTGAATACACATTTCTTCTTCCACTCTTCCATAATTATGGACGTCCTTTGTGGTGGAATTGGGGTTCCCTACCAAGGCACCCTTGCAAATTTTCAACATTCATATCCTGCACACTGAATAACCACAGTACAGTTACATGTATGACTACTTTTTTAAGTATCCTCACAAACACCAGCAGGCTTTACTGCTTCTGGGATTCATAGAACACAACTGTAATTTCACTTTACTTTCATAACACAGCTTGTTCCTAGAATGTCTGTTAGATCTGAGGTTCTCATGGCACCGAATACAAAGATTATCACCTTCTGGGACATGAAGATGTGCAGTTCTGTAAATCTGAGTCAACATTTTAAAGGAGCCTGCTGTCACCATCTTCAGGGTACACAAGACATATGGAACAGAGTTTCTTACAATAATTACTGACACAGTACCTTCCCCAGCAATTCATTCATTCATTAATGGCATGCTAGTTTTACCAAGTTACTGGCAGCTTTATATTTGTGATTGAGAATAAAATAAACCTTTCTTTGGATACACATATTGACGGTAATAGACAGGAGTTGCAATATTGTAACAAAACTTATTTCTCTTTCTTTCACTTCATTGTGGAAATATTTTATTTCATGTTGTTAATTGTATTTAGTACAATTACTCGTTTTCATATATTAGTAAAGAATGAAGTTCTGGGTTTATTTGTAGTGGTAACTAACAAGGTTGGCATGCTGGCTGTTCATCATGGACAGTAGAGCCATCTCTACCATGTGTTATGTCCACCATTAAGAATACAGGGAAACACTGATAAATTTCCTCTTACATTCTGGAAGAGCTACGGTTTAGCTCTTTTTATTGTGGTTTGCTCTCAGATAATACATATACAGCACACAAAATGTATTTACTGTTATGATTTTAAGTAAGCCAGATAATAACAGAAATTTTTAATAATGGCTGTGTCAGATACTTGCAAGGTAGGTTATAACAAATAAATCTCCTCAGGTGAATCAGTTGTGTGACAGAATCTGACATCTTGGAAACTGTTTGTCTCTATCATCAGGGGTTGATGTGATCAGTGACACATTGTACTGTATTTATACCCACAGAGTATGCTCTCAGCTTATTTACTGAGTGCAGTCGGGTGGTCAATGATATATTCCAGTGTAGATCCTGGGGGAACGGTTGCTGGAGTCAGGCAGTCATCATAATACACGTAACTTACCTAGACACTAGCATACTACCCACTGCTAACCCTTCATTATAAGATGTTGTGATGGTATTCCTTTGTCTATGCATGTCAAAACTCAGAAAATACTGTCACATGTTAGTGACTAGATAGTGTGGTTTGGTTTGGTAATTTGGACTCCTCACTCATAACTATAAGTAATTATAATGCTCTGGCCAATCCATGCACTCGACTTCTCACTACTGCACACACTGAACATTCTCAGTTTGTTTCCACATGGCTAGGCTATGGGTCCCTTGCTAATCTACAAACTTCACAATTCACTACAACATGATAAGTCTTCTTGTACCCATTGTATGGCAGCTGTTTTTGACAATGTGGATTCCCTTTACTGCTTCTGTACTCACTGGTTGGCAACTCCCTCACAACTACTTGTCTCACCCAAAGGTTCTCGGTATACAACCTCAGCATGGATCACATAGAAAACATCACCTCTAACAACATCCTGAACTGCCGTGTTTGTATCTGTACCATGAAAATGTGTTTACATGTACACACATGTAAAACATTACCATGCAACAGACAATGCAAACATGTCACAATATCATAATAAAAGACCAGTGATGTCTAGCACCTGTATAATCTACATAAATTGTGATGATGCTCAACTAATCCCTCACAATGACTACATGACTCCACCCACTATTCCCCCATCTGTTCAAGCTGCATATCAGCGCCCGATTCTCTCCACTGTTTCTACGGTGGTCTGCACTGGCCAGCCAAGATATAAATACTGGTGCAGGCAGAGTCTCCAAAACAATGGATACCAAGTCCACCCTCACACAGCTGATAACCTGAGAAGACTTCCTTATATACGATTATGTTCATAATAAAATAATTTTATTAAGGTATCCTAGAAATTAAATTCTGTACAAATGTTGTACCAAAGGAAAACTTTCTTGGTGTGAAGTTCTCTTACAACTTCAATATATTTAAGGAATGGTATCCCACTATAGGCTGCCGTATTGCTAACCCAATCATGCCCTTAGCAGAACTAATGACATGCACACATATGTACATTTATACAGCCTGAAACAGCCATCAGCCAACTTCATGTGGCAAAGAAACTAAACAATAACACTGCACTTCATACTCACAAACAGCTAAACATGGTAAACAGGTAAAACTGTTCATAAACACAACCTTCCAAACATAACTACAGACATATGGCGGTATAGTTAAACATGGAATACTAGCCAAAATAGAAAAGGAATAACAAGACCTCATTGCGGGCTGCAGCAGCACATTACCTTTCCTATGCCAGTGCAACAACTTACAATGAGGGCTGTCTCATCAGGCACGCCCACCAGCCTCAAAGAAAATATGGATTTCAAACTACATCACTCAGTACAATAAACTAAGCAATTCCAAAACAGAATTTACATCTCCCCTTGTTGAAGTCCAAATGTAAACAGAGAGCTAAGGAGCACTCATCAAGACAATATCCTATCTCAGGCAGAGGGAAAGAGTAGAAAAGCTTGTTCTGAAAGAACCAGGTGAGATGAGGTATGTTAAAGATCAGACGAAAGAGGTAATTATGTCAGAAGTTACAGAACTTAGGACATGGAGGCCAAACCAAACACAGTATCAAGTTCCCTGAGACTGCAGTGCCAATTTATGGCTCAGGAAAAGTGGAAAGAATACAGAACTGGGACAAAAAATGGCTCATGGAGGATAGACCAATCAGAGCGTCCCATACGTTCCACTGGGAACTATAGGCCCTGACAACAGCAAACAGTCCAGAACAGGGGGAAATAGGTGCACCTGCACAGGCAAGGATGGATGAGAGATGAAGAGCCCTTATGAAGGCATGGAAAGAAAAGTAATTTCAATGGGAATTTTGAGCCCTAGAAAGGACAATTACACCAGGTGAGAAGGCAGAGTATGAACAACAAATGGGAACCACAGACCCTGATAAGAATAACTGCCCCAGGAGATGGGGCAGGAAGCACTAGAGAAACAGAAAAATTACCATATGCACTGAGTAGCAAAAGTACTCAAAGATAGAAGGAAAAATCTAATGCCCTGAAAAGGGAAACTCATATTTACAGAGAGGAAGGAAGAGTAGGAAAGTCTCCCCTTTTAAAGTGTCCTAAAGGAAAACTAAGATGTTCTTTTATAGGACAAGTCTTGACTTGGCTATCCTCTATCTGAAAAGAAAAGACTTCGTTCTGTGAATACGAAAAAAGGGCTCTTTTCTTACTCCTCCTTTCTGTCCTTCTCAGGGCTTACTATGCCATTGCCACACATCTAGGCTGCATGACCATAATCCTGATAAGTCTATTACATCTCTTTTTCAGGACGGGGAAATGAAGTTATAAATTTCACTGCAATTTTATCAATAATTTTTAATGAACAACACCCTTAAAAATAATGCTGATAAAACACTGTACTTATATACACCATATACACAACACAAAAAACCTTGTGTCAAATGATGAAATTCATACCACAGGAACTCTTCAGTTATCAAAAAAAAAAAAAAGTGAATGAGGCAGAAACAATAAGTAACAGAAAAAAATATATGTTCAAAACTACATACTCTTCAAGGAACATAGATACCTCACCTGTCTCTTGCACATCAGACATCTATGAAGGGCAGTAAAGGAAAAGATATCCCTGTAACATGCCAAGGAGGCTGCTGTGAAATAAGACCTCGAGGCGCATTCTTGTGATGTCACTTTATTACTCAACGATGTAACTACAATTCAACATAGTTATATTGAACTGTAACTACAATTCAATATAACTATAACACAAAATGTTGAACAGGTCGTTTCACAGTTGGTCCTTTCGGGTTGACAACTCTCACTAGAATGTAGAACTGTCCATCTCTCCATGCTGGCTAACCACTGGCTTCTGTCAACACCAAAGTCAAAGTTACAACGCGACTGATGGTCGGTCAGTCAGTCAGTCAGTAAGTCTTGGTGTCGAGCCCATATGCTGCTGGCCCTTGCCAGCGTGGTCTTTCTTGGGTCCGAGTCCCTTGGGACTTGCGACCATATTTTACTGTCTCAGATTTGAGACTTCCCTTTTTGTTGCCTCCTACAACTCAGAGGGTCACGGTGGAGGTATTCGACCCCACCTCCACACAGGAGTTCTCTCTGTCTGTCAACACCACTGAATTTTATCTTCTTATACTCGTATAACCTATAGTTGGAACTATGGAAAACATGTCACTCTTCGAATTGTTCAAGGCTTTGCCTAGCACTGGCTGTTTACTCAGCCACTGCTATGCAGGGAATGGTTTCTAGCTTGCGATTGGCTAGCACACATCACATAGTGTTGTAGACCTTACATAGCAATGATTGTTTACTCACCATTGCTAAGCAATGGTACCTGAGCTGTCACTGTAGCGTTTCCGGAGTAATGTCGTTACTGTTTGGCAAAAACATGCAACAACTAGTAGAGCAAACACATATACAGTCATGGATCATAAGTCAAGGAATTAAAGGGTAAAGAAGTCTCAATTCCCGACAGAGGTCCATATGGCTGAGAGACGTTGAGGCCCCCACATTTCCTAAACAATCAGCTCACAGAGGGTGATGAGGTTGTCAGCCTTATGCACTGGCCCATTTACCCCCAGGTACTCCTGGTATTCGTTTCTGTTAGAGGCTGAGTTGACCCCAGAGCCATAGTGTGGCTGGAAGGATTAGGTCAACTGAAAAATCCACTGACCTCACTGCAAATCAGACCCATGAACTTCCAGCTTGCAGCGTAGTGCCTCAACAAATACATTACTGTGTCCCATAAAAAATAGTACTTCATATATTTATTAAGCTTTGCTTGTTATTAAAATTAATTTTAAGAGTTCTAAATTTCCTAACTACAAGTATTCTTTGTTATATGCTAGTTAAAAAATGTAATGTAATTTAATTTTAATGTAATCAACTAATTTAGCCCAACTTCAATTCAAAGCACTCAATTTAATGTGAACTGCTTGCTGGGTGATTGAGCATGGTAGGGAAAAAAGAAGTAGAGTACTGTGTCGGTGGCAGTTGAGTGATGCAAGGGACGGAGAAATTTGGCCCAGCCATGCAACCTCTTCCAGATACCTACTGTTGCATGAGAAATCAAGAGGCTGGGAAACAGCTGAATGTTATACCATAAATGCAGAACTCAATACTCTGGAATTCTTAAGCCGATCAAACCCATTCTCTACCACCACACTTGCCTGTTCACCATTGTTTTCAATCATCTCCCCACAGAGCTCAACAACAACTCACCCATCAGATCACCCACCTCATCCATTCAGCAAGCCATCTATTGTGAGAACCATGAATATTAATTTTTATTATTTATTATTAATATACTGCTTCTGACATCTAAAAATTACTGAACAGTGTTTAAAAATATATCTTCTTAATATGCTTCTTACTGTCTATGTCAGAGAGAGACAGAATGTATGTGTCTCTCAGGGAAAACTGGGCAAGCGATTTTGACCCAGCGGCACAGGTTTTCTGTGAATGTTTCACTAAAATTATGCCATCCCATTTCTTAGTAGTGTCCAGCATTCTTTTTCAATGTAAATAATTATGAATATAATTAATTCATACCTATAATATGGTGGCATGTGGTAGTGTAGTGGTCAAGGTGCTATGCTACAAGCTGGAAAGTCATGGGTTCAAATCCCGCCGAGGTCATTGCATTTTTTTTTCAGTTGAGCTAATCCTTCCAGCTGCACTAGGCCTCGGAGTTTATTCAGCCACTAACAGAAATGAGTACCAGGAATTAATTAAATAATTTTCCTGGGGAGTAAAGCACGGTCGGTGCATAAAGCTGACAACCTTATGCCATCTTTGAGCCGATTGTCTAGATAATGTGGGACCCTCAACGTCTCATAACCCTATGGGCCTTCATGGCCTGGTACAGGGATAGCTTTACTTTTACTTTTTTATACCTATGATATGTCACAATATTATAAAAATAAGAAAATGGATGTATTATATTGCATAAGACAATCAGCATAAGTAAATGCAAGAATATTGACACTTCTGAAGCAGATCTCAGATATTTACGAGGGTAAGTCAATAAGTAAGTTACAAATGGATACAGAACTTAAACAAATAAGAGTACTGATTTGAAAAATGCGTTTATTTCTCAACATAATCTCCCTGTACACTGAGGCACTTGTCCCATCATTTCACAAGCCCCTGAAAACCAGCAGCATAAAATTCTTTGGGCTGCTGTCAGAACCAGACATGTTGCTCTTGCTTGACAATGCGTATCCCCATACTGCCAACAAGACAAACGGGACGCTGCGAAATTTCAAGTGGGAGGTCCTCAATCATCTTCCGTATAGCCCCGACCTTGCTCCAAGCGACTTCCATTTGTTTGGCACTCTTAAACATCATCTTTCGGCTGAACATTTTCTGACGATGAAGATGTAAAAAGGGAAGTCGCCGCCTGGTTCTGACATCAGCCCAAAGAATTTTATGCTGCTGGTTTTCAGGGGCTTGTGAAACGATGGTACAAGTGCCTCAATGTACAGGGAGATTATGTTGAGAAATAAAAGCATTTTTCAAATCAGTACTCTTATTTAAGTTCTATATCCATTTGTAACTTACTTACTGACTTACCTACGTATATTGACCATTACCAGAAAATCAAGTTGAATTTATGTGATTTTGCCCTCTGACTTTTTTGGAATGCTACTCTTCCATAAATTGAGAAGTACCTGTACTATAATGCACTGAATCAATGCTATCTTGTGTGATCCAAGTGTTAAGACAAAAGTGTGATACTGAGGCTAATGTCCACACTGTGCTATTCATTTCTGCCACTTCCTTCACCCTTGCACTAGTAAATTTCTTATTTTGTTGTCTGTCTATATCAAAATCCACGTGTGCTACATATTAGGTCCATGCTTAATATACATCAGAAATGTGAACATAGCGCTTCTACTACAAATGGAAGCAATGCGCAAGAATGCATTAAATTACATTACTATTTAGTTGTACATCAACTTATCAGCAAATTTTATGTTCAGTGACTGACAATGAATGAATGTGAAGAACAGTGTTTTTATCAATTCCTGTTAATTTTATGTTTGAACTAGACATCAGAAAGTAATCAAAACAGCAGTTAAAACAACCTTTGTGTGATATTTATATTACCTTCTGAATTTCAATTGAATACTAATTATGATTTGGCATTTACCAGTCTTCAGCTAATCAGTTTAAATCATTAACATTTATTCAGTTCATCTGTCAATGAAGCTCTGCTTTTGGTACCATGTACTTCTTCAAAAAATTGTACACAAGTGGCCATATTTCATCTGATGTATTCCCTTTGAAATCTTGCAGAATTCCTTTTTTCCTGTAGAAATCCAGTACTGGGTTAATACTATCAGAATAGACCTCAAGTCTTTTCCTAACTGCTTCTGGCTGGTCATCAGGTCGTTGAATTAGCTCTTCCCCTGTCACATCATCTTTCCCCTGTAAGAAATACATGATTACTACATTAATTTCCTGGAAAGTCTGGCCATGTGTGCTGTTTAGTTACCAAATAGCATTCTTTAAACTGCACACTTTACACAGCATCAAATGGAAGGATGATTGTGAATTCTGAAGTTCACAGGATGTGCGAGCTGTTATAGGCTGTACCATCTAAGCATATGCCCTGAAGGACTGAGGACAACCTCCATTACAATAGATGCCCTCATGCTCTCCCATGAAATATGCTCATACCTTACCGTAATTTTTGGAGGACTGTATTCTGTGTTATATATCCGTCCACTTGGTTCATGGATCCATCTTCCTTTAACTCTCTCAATTATAATTTCAAAGGGTACTATAAGGTTAAGAGCCACATCTATTGGCTCTTTGGTGTATAACTCTTCAGCTTGCTCCCTGGTTCTTGGGAAGCCTATGAATGCATAAACTGAATTAGTATTCAGAGATATAAACACGTGCCATATCTTGATAAAGAAACATCCTTAATTGCTGTTTGCATATCATTTGACAATGAATTATCTTTCTCCAGGACCATATTGGAGGAGTTAGGTGGTCAAACAACATGGCTCTCAACAGTACAAATGTTTGATACGATGTGTTAAAACGGGCATGCAGTAGTGTAGTTGGTTGAGGCACTATACCACAAGCTGGAAGGTCACAGGTTCGATTCCTTTCCAGCTGCACTATGGTCATGGGGTCAACTCTGCTTCCAACAGAAATGAGTACAAGGGATCTTCTTGGGGGTAAAGGGCAGCAGGCACATAAGGTTGACAATCTCACTGCCATCTGTGTGCCAACTATCTAGAAAATCTGGAAGTCTTTGACATCTCACAACCCCATGGGCCTCCACAGTCTGTTAAAAGGATAGATTTACCTTCTCTTTTATGGTGTGTTATTCAGATACACAACTTAGTATTTACTTCACTAATATGTAAGCATGAATACATCTTGCACTAAGAAAAAAAAGAATGAAAAATCTAAGAATATATAAGCTAAGATATTTTACTGTAACTGTATGGTTTTATTCTACTGCTCCACTCCTATTAGCTTGTAATTCTAGAACATGGAAAATATTGTTTCTCACTCATCAGTAGAGTATGGTGCACTGACAAATTTTTTGCTCCACTGAGGTTAACATGTGAACTGCTCACGTTACAGGACATCAGTACCATTCAGCTTAACATTCTTCAAGTCTACATATGAAACTGAAAATCGATGTCTGTTAACCTTCTGATGCTGACCTTAGCATGGTGCACTTCTTCAAACAATTTTAAAGATATGTAGGATCTGGTGTAACTGCTCATAACACAAACCATATTATTTTTGTTAACTCTCATAGAGTATGTGGAGACAGATTCCTAGCGAATCTTTTTCAATGTACAATTGTAATAAAATGTATATTTTTAACCACAGAAATAATATTAGTTATACAAAAATAAACTTAAAAAAAGAACTTATTTAACTTCACTCACCAGGAATTTTGAGTGGGGGGGGTAAGCTGGTGATGGCTCCTCTCCTACAAATCTTACTACATCACTGATGCATGTACATATGCAATCTGAATCTCTTTAAAAATTGTTTAGCTGAATTTGTTGTTTTGTATTACATGTCTAAAAATTCTAACATTTATCCTAAAATCCTGTAAAGATAAATTTATGTACTGTACTGAAAATTTTTGGTTACCTTTTGGGGGTCAGAAAACTCTCTCTCTCTCTCT